GATCCTTTAGTACTCCCCTGGTGATCATTTTCTGACCGCTGTGTGCCTCCTCTTCTCCAAGTGTGAGTGTGAGTAGGGGAGTCTGTGGAAGGAGGAGATCTTGTGAGTCATTAGAATCCTCCTCGTCCTCCTGTTCTTGAGATGTTGCTTGTGACAAGTCAGAAATAAAGTCCGATGTGGTCTCCTGTATCAGATCAATCACCGTGCTTGATATGGCCTGGTAGGCAGTTTCGTTGTCAGAGGACTGAGGGTGGGTCGGTGCTATGTGGAGGACTGGCGTCAACAGTTGTGATGGAAACAGTTCCTCTAGTGGAGCCGTGATGGTAGACAGTACTCCGTGAGGGGCCAGTGTATGTAAGACCCTGACCATCTCTTTCACCACCACTGGGGGCTAGTGTTGGTCATCAAAGGAAAGTGTGCAATTTGTCTCATGCATCAAGGAGACCACGAAATCTATTTTTGGCTGTGTAGGGCTCGCCATAGACCTCACTCTGCCGATCATTTGTTGAATGGTCAGTGTTGCTATATTCTCAGCAGTAGCTTGAGCAACATAATTGGTTGAACGACGAGATCCTTTAAATCCCACTGAACCAGAAGAGGCTTAAAATTTGGTATCTCCAAAAAAATATGTTATGGTAATTATAGTGTTACTTAAAGTTGATTGAATATAAGCAATACCGTGTTTTGTTTGCATGGCGTTTTTTATGTTATTTGACTTTGCAAGTATGATAAGATGCATAACGATGACCCAAAAAAAAACGGCAACTCTGGGTCTTTGCATGCTTTCTTTCATCTGTTTTGCGTTTTTGTTTGGGTTTCCCACTCAAGCTCCAGTCTCCCACTTCGTGGCCGAAAGTCCATTAGTATGTGTTCGTTGGGCCTTATGGCGACACGATAACAACCATAACTTTCCCCACCATCTTCCAATCCACCTCACTTGGCGATGCATAGGCCGTGACTGATGCTCTGACCTGTTTGTCCTTCATGATTGTCCGCCTGATCTTCTCCCAGTGCAGTGGATGTATTTTATCATGGATCGAGCCGGACGCGGGGGAGAGGACCTTTAGGAGGACCCAGTCAACCATGTCTTTCAATTTTTTTTGTATTTTTTTGTTGGCCCAGACTGGGTGTGTTTTTGGCATCGGGTGGCCTTTGCCCTTTGCTGCCCTGCGGGTGTTGTCTTCCTCTCTAGTCAGTTCATGTGTTGAGAGTGGTTCCGACTGGATCGTTGCTCCCTCTCTTTCCGTCCGGGGAGGACAGGGGACTTCATTTGCCAGGGTTATGTCCCCTTGCTCGCCTATCTCCTCCTGCAGTTCCCTTTGCCTGTTGGCCTGCTTGTCGTTGTCATCCTCTGACTGAATGATGATATCTCCTTGGTGGTCTATCCTTAAGCTTGACAATTCCGAAGGAGTGAACTGAGGAGGAGGAGGTGGGGGCTGTGGGTCGGGATGAGGGCTGGCCTGTTCCCCCTGGGAGATTTGAAACTGGATGGTCGCCAACTGCTGCTGCTGAACGTATTGTCGATGCTGGTGGTGGTAGGCCCGAGTCGCTGCTTGTGGTTGTTGCTGGGCTTGTTGCTGAACTGCAGTTTGCATCTCTTGATGGATACGTTGCTGTGTCTGTGCAATCACCCAAGCCTGCCTTTGCGCCTCCTCTTGGATTTGCTGTCGGTGCAGTGATGTCGTTTGAGCTGGCTGTTGTGCTTGTTCTCATGCCACGGCCAGGGCCTAGAGCTGGTCTTGAGCTTAATCCGAGCTCAGCGACTGCTGTTGGGGGTCGGTATGGATCAGTGTTTGGCTGTATGGGTCCTCATTTGTTGTGTAGGATCAGATCGCCTTGATAATCCCATGTCGGTGATGGCGGGGGCGAGGTTTGAACTTTGAATCTCCTCCCACGCCACTACTCGTGGTGAGGACAATTTTGTGCTGTCCTGAGCGATTTGAGGAGGCAGGAGGTCTTTGTCCATGGTGCGGAATTCGCCTGACATTTTACTTGTGGGGAGAGAAAGCTCGCTAGCGGGGACAAGGACCTATTGTTTCCCCTTGTGAGGTGGGAGTTCTTCCCTGGGAGGAGTATCTCCCGGGTCTGTGTAGGCAAGTGCGTGGCCCAGCTGACCAAGGTCCTGCGGTTGCATTTGGTCCCGTTTGATAGCCAGTTTCCTGTCTTGTGGATGGTGCTGTGGTGGAGTTGATTGTACCAAGGTTTCCTTGAGGCGCCCCAACCAATATTCCACATAACCTGCAACAACTTTAGCCGGAGCTCCCGTTATTGGTGATCCTGGGGTTTCCAACTGGCGGCTTGAGTGCGTTAGCATCATTGGTTGGGGACTGTTTCCCTCCTGGAGGTCTTCCCAACCATCAGGTGACGTGTAAGCAGACTTCCCCCCTTTTCCTTTGAAGTCCTGGGAGGCTTTGCTATCACTCTGTTGCAGGGTTTTCCCTTTTTGGGTCGCCTACTTACGCAGTCTGAGACGGGGGTCCATTGGTCGCTGTCTCGCTTTCTGCGCTGGCTGTCCCGAAAGTAAGGCCGGTTGTGATTGCTGGTTTGCAACTGCTGTTGATGCGTGCAGTTGTCGTTCATCGAGATTTGAAGATTTCAGTTCCCGGGGGGCAGGTGAGGCGGGGGGGKCTGGGKGTTGGGCACCAAGGGGAGGTCTGGAGTGCTGGGTCACTCCGGCCACCCATTGTGGTGGAGTGAGGCATCCTTTTGATTGTTGCTCTATTTGCTGTTTTTTTGCTTTTTGCTCCCATTGCTGTTGGCCCCGAATCTCTTGCATTCTCTCCTGTCGCTTTGCTTTTTGTGTCCGTTTTGACAATATCAACGTAGGGAGGGTGGGTGCAGCCTTATGTGCGGCTGATGTGTCGTTGGGGGTCGACTGCTGGTATTGCTGCTCTGTCCCATCGGGGGGCAGCTGAATTGTCAGGTGATAAGACGCCGACATTGCAGCTTGAGGTGGAGGGGGGCATTCTTTCTGTTGCTGCTGAGCTCGCGGCTCTCTTTGCATTTCGTGCTGTGTTTGTCAGTCACTTGTTATTCGTGGTAGCGGTGGTGTTGTGCCTGGTGAGACCTCACCCCGTTGTTGCGTCCGGGCCTCAAGCTGGCCTTTCTGCTGCAGACAGTGTTGATTGCTGTGTATGAGCTCAGTTGGAGGATGCTGCTTCTCCTGGACAATAACCGTTGTTGTTGTCCCAGTGCTTTGCTGCTGCGTTTGGGCCTGTAGCTGGTCTTTCTACTGCAGATAGTGTTGATTGCTGTGTGTGAGCTCAGTTGGAGGATGGATTTTCTCCTGGACGACAACAGCGGTTGTTATCTCAGTGATTTGAGAATGGTGTGAGTTGTCACCAGTTTTTCCATCATGTCACTTCGCAGGTTGTTTCCCCTTCAGTGTGGTTGCCTGCATTGCCACTGTTTTTGCCTGTGATCGGGGCTCGGTTTCTCCGTTGGGGCCCTTAGTCACCAGTTTTTTGTGAGGCTTGTCCGCTTGGTTGGATTTGGGGAGTGACGTCTTGGGTGGATGCACCTGGGAGCTGGATGGCGTTACCTTTGGAGAACCCTCCCCTCTCCAAAACCAGTATCCCGGTTCCTGATTCTCCCCTTCGCGGAATAACCAACCGGCCAGTTTTGAGCCCTCTGCTTGCCACACACCTGGGAGTGTTTTATATGGTTTGACCAGGCCCTCCAGGGTCTTCCTTGTTGCCTTTGGATAGGTCTCATCCGTGCAGAGATGCCCCCTGACTTTGCAGGCATAACACCAGAGGTCCTGTGTGTGGCTGATGGGGACCACATATGTCTGACCTTGGTACGCGTATGTCCATTCTTCATTGAGGTGGAATGGTTTCTCCGGATCCCAGTCGAGAGCCACGAGCAGAGAGTCATCCCGTTTGGGCATAAACCGCAGAAGATCGTGCACGTAGCCTTTGACTGGCGCCAGTTCCTGTAAGTCGGCCAAGATAGCTCCTTGGACATTTAGCGGTGCGAATCTGAATTTCACCCAGAAGTTGTGTTTCATCATCAGCTCACGTCTGTCGTCCGCCGTCAAGGGAGTGGGGAAGACCATTGGCGAGCTTGGACATGTGTTGCTCTTAAAGAGAGATTCCGCAGAGAGTGTTTTTTGTTTGTTTGTTTGTTTGTTTGTTTTTTTTTGTTTTTTTTTTTTGTACAAGAAACAGCCCGAGTATGCCAGGGGCGCTGATAAGAGCAGACACCTCTAGCAAGCTCGGGGAGGCTCCATCTATTGGTGGGGAGCAACACCTGCTGGAAAACGGGTCCAGCGCCCCTATGAACAATCTGAAATCATATGAACATGCCACGTGTCCATCCTACTTGAGGGCGAGAAAAGCTTATGCACCGACATGCTGGCACGCAACGTTAGCCTAATGAGCAGCGTCAATTACCCTCAACCGAGGGAACGGCTGCCCATCACCCTGTAAGATCATATCCCTACTCAGAAACCCCATCGTGTAGTCAAATCTTGCAGCACCATGAGGAGGGGAGGAGACAATCCAAATAGGGAAGCTATCAGTAGAGACGCACACGTAGCAGAACCCCGGAACCCCCACTGCACCTCCTTGCCTGCCACGTGGCAAATCCTAGTATTTTTACCACCGGGATATGACCCCCCGGGTAGCTTAGCAAACTCGAAATCATATAGGCTTGCCACGTGGCCACCCCTATTTAAACGCACAAATTTGTCCAAGCGGCAACGCAGGCACATATGTACAACCAGTGAACAACATTGATTACCCTCAATGAGGGGATTGACTGCCCACCCATGCACGAATTCATACCCTACCCAGAAATACTCATCAACAACCCAAAAAACATACATCGCGATGAGTAGAAGGGGCAATCCTCACTAAAAGCTAAAACCTAAAGGCCACGTGGCGGAACCCAAACGAGTCACACACAAAGAAATCCATAGCGCCGCTTCCCTCGGCACTTCCTGTCCTCGACACCTGACAAGAAACCGGACATCACGTTTGCAGGCCCTAATGACTCATGCAGTGTTGGCCCGCGGCTAGAGCTGCCCTATTACCATGTGGCAACTAATCAGGTGCAGTAAGACAATCCAATATCTATCCCACCCCTTCGCACACCCATCCCACCCCTAGCTCTCCCCCACACCCGTCCAATATGCTGAACGAGCCATTCAAACAGCCCTGTCGCCCTCCCCCTGGGTCATCAACATGATCACAAAGGAGAAAGGACACCAGGGCAGAGAAGGGGGAGGGGGAGAGAGCTGAAACCCCCACCATACTTACCACACTGTCGTTGTTGGTATTATTGATGTCGTTTTTGTTGCTGATGTTGTTGTAGTTTTTGTTGTTGTAGTCCGGCATGCACGAACTCACAATTTCCATACTTGTTCCAGTGTCATGCACAACAATCATGGTGTTGCCAGCGTCCACAATCTCTGTGTCGTGGTTGCTGTAGGTGTTGTTGCTGCTGATGTTGTTGTTGTTATTGTTGTTGTTGTTGTTGTTGTTGTTGTCATTATTGTCGCGCACGCCCAAGCTCACAATCCCCATGTTTGTACCACGGACCTGCACGAATTTATTGATGTCGTTGGCGTGTTTGTCAATAGCGAGGACGTCATCACCTCGAGTTTGGCCCTCCCGAATCTCGTCACAGCTGATGATGCTCGCGTCAGTATTATCTTCATCTTCCGTCCCAAAGTGCAAGTACCACTCCTCCTCCAGCGCTGCGTACACATCTTGCCCCTCCTCGAAGATGTCGTAACAACACCGCTTCAGAGTCTCCTCCTGTTGACCATGCATGAGACCATCCTCCTCCAACTCCCAGATGATCTGCATCATGTTCCTCATCACTTCCCGAAACGGCGGGTTTGATGAAGCTGCCCCCCCATCAGCCTCAAATTGAGCTCCCAATTGTGAGCGCAGTGCATCTACCATCACCTGTAAACGGCAACGAGCTGCTCGAATGGGTGAGATCCACTCGCCGACTCCTCGCTGCTTGTCTCCCATTGAAGCCATCTGCAAGTAAGAACCGCCACGAAATCCGCGCCAACGAACTCCCACGCTCCCCTGCCAATCCCACTTCTAACGGGGCTGCCACGTCAGCGTCACCGTGAACGTGGGGCAAGACACGTGGCTCAAGCTACCCCCGTCAGCCCACGCGGGCGCCCGATCGCGTGGAGGGCAGCCGGGCCCTTCCGGCTGCGACCACGTGGAGTGTTAGCGCTCCCTAGCGCTAATTTTAGCGGTCCACCTGTTAGTCGACTATTGTGCTACAACCAGGGCCGGGCTCAGCACCTCTAGCTTCACCTNAGATCATATCCCTACTCAGAAACCCCATCGTGTAGTCAAATCTTGCAGCACCATGAGGAGGGGAGGAGACAATCCAAATAGGGAAGCTATCAGTAAAGACGCACACATAGCAGAACCCCGGAACCCCCACTGCACCTCCTTGCCTGCCACGTGGCGAATCCTAGTATTTTTACCACCGGGATATGACCCCCCCGGTAGCTTAGCAAGCTCGAAATCATATAGGCATGCCACGTGGCCACCCCGATTTAAACGCACAAATTCGTCCAAGCGGCAACGCAGACACATATGTATAACCATTGAACATCATTGATTACCCTCAATGAGGGGATTGACTGCCCACCCATGCATGAATTCATACCCTACCCAGAAATACTCATCAACAACCCAAACCATACATCGCCATGAGTAGAAGGGGCAATCTGAGCAGGCCTCACTAAAAGCTAAAACCTAAAGGCCACGTGGCGGAACCCAAACGAGTCACACATAAAGAAATCCATAGCGCCGCTTCCCTCGGCACTTCCTGTCCTCGCCACCTGACAAGAAACCGGACATCACGTTTGCAGGCCCTAATGACTCATGCAGTGTTGGCCCACAGATAGAGCTGCCGTATTACCATGTGGCAACTAATCAGATGCGGTAAGACAATCCAATATCTATCCCACCCCTTCGCGCACCCGTCCCACCCCTAGCTCTCCCCCACACCCGTCCAATATGTTGAACGAGCCGTTCAAACAGCCCTGTCGCTCTCCCCCCGGGTCATCAACACGATCACAAAGGAAAAAGGACACCGGGGGAGAGATGGGGGAGGGGGAGAGAGCTGAAACCCTCACCATAGTTACCACACCGTCGTTGTTGGTATTATTGATGTCGTTTTTGTTGCTGCTGTTGTTGTAGTTTTTGTTGTTGTAGTCCGGCGTGCACGAACTCACAATTTCCATACTTGTTCCAGTGTCATGCACAACAATCATGGTGTTGCCTGCATCCACAATCTCTGTGTTGTGGTTGCTGTAGGTGTTGTTGCTGCTGATGTTGTTGTTGTTATTGTTGTTGTTGTTGTTGTTGTTGTTGTTGTGTTGTCTGGTGCATAGAGTGTCAAAACTGTGATCGCAGATGCGCCTGCTGTCTCCACTAGAAAATGGTCTCCCACATCCTTGTGTGTGCGTTTGATGGCCCGTAGACGTGCATTAACCCATTTCAGTTTTTCGTTCATGCGAACTAATGCAATTTCTTTGGCGAATTCGAATTGCATTGCACTATGAGAGTAAATGGCCGTTTTATTGGCCATTGCCGGTGCGGAGAAGAGCGAGAGGGGGTAGATGTATCCATCCTCCTCTTGGAATTTCTTCTCCGGTGGCACGTGCAATTTGAATATAAAGTGACCTCTCAGCGGCTGGATGGGGTCCAGTGAGAGGAGTTTGTTTGTTGCCGTTTGGCCAGTAGAGGTTAGCGCCGCAATAAGCGTCGACGATTGCTGGCCTTTGTTGATTGGTGGGGGCGCCAGCTGATTCTGGGTCCTCAGTTTTTCAGCCCATGTCATCTGTCCCTTTGGGAAGCCTGTTGCAACCCTGGCGCCTCCCCCCTGTGTCAGCGCTGCCATAGTTTGTGCTGCCGAGTCCGTATTTGCGTTTGCTATGACTGAGGTTTGTCGTGCGGCAGGCTGGATTGGCATGCTGTGTCTGGGTTGCCAGGGGGGGAGTGTTGAGTGGAGGTTTCTGGGCTAGTTGTTACTCGACTGCCCTTCTTCTCTTCCCCCCTATCCCTGTCCTTTCCCCCGCGACACTGTGTCAGATGGGTCGTGTGCCAGTCCCCTTCACTATCACTCCTATAGGCCTATCACTCGTATAGACCCAAGCGCCGTGGAACTCGCTTGTTTTGTTTTCCTTTTTTTTTTTTTTTTTTTTTTTTTTTTAAAGCTCTTGCGTTATCCCTCTATCCTGGCTGTGGTAAGAGAACCGTCAGAATTGAGGGCTTATCTGTCGGGCTGCTCCATCTATTGGTGGGGAGCGACACCTGCTGGAAAACGGGTCCAGCGTCCCATTGATACAACTTTACAATACAGATATAATACAGATATTTATGTTTGTTGTTTTCTAGGGCTGTGGTGATACATGTCTCTTCCCGGGGCTCCATTGTCCCTTGGAGCTGCTGTTTTCCCCCTTCACTTCATGGAGTACCTACTTTACTATCAGCCCAGCCCTAGTTCTGCAGCCCCCCTGAAATGAGAGAGTCCTGTTCAGCAATTCCTCTGTGCAATGTTACTATGAGGTGTATCCTATGGAATGAATAGTGAAGTCTTTCTCACCGGGCAAGGCAGCATGTAGTTGTTGGAGGTTTGATGTTTTGAAGTCTGTTCCAATTGGTCGAGGTTGTCAGATGGAGGGTATATGCGAGTGAGGGGGAGGGAGGGGGAGGATGGGGCGATGTGTTCCAATAGGAGGGAAATGGTCGGGGTTTGCATGAGGCGAGAGAAGGATGGGGGGCGAGGTTATGCCTGGCCAAGTTGATGATAAGGAATCTGCCTCGCTTTGTTCTTCTGTGCCGATCTTGGATTCTTGTTCCTTCCGTTTATGTGACACTCCCCCCTCCCCCCTTCACGCCCGCTTACGACACAATCTGCCACGCTTCATGCCGGCATGAACTCCTACTTCTCTCCCCGATTGCAGAGACCTCTGTTTTCCTGTCTTCACGCCGCAGCCCTATTGTCATGGCCTTGTCGTATCACCCTTTGCCATCTGTGCTCTTTGACCAGTTTCCGTCGCACCCACGCCCGCGCCTCCCCTCTCAGTTCCCCTATCCTTCAGAGTCTCCCTTCACCTCCAGTGGCGTTTCCTTGCTTTTCTGTCACTCCCCGCTACCTGACCTCCTAGACCTCCCCTCTTTGCTGTGTTCGCGTCGTCTTCTCTGGATCCGGATGCGCCGCTTTTCGTTTCTCGGCACGCTTCTCTTCTTCTTCTTCGGGAGTGTTCACGTCGTCTTCCACCCTCGTCGTCGCACTTGGTAACTATCATTCCTCTTCCTCTACAGTCTACCAGTGCTTCTCTATTCTCCTGTTCGCGCCGCACGTGCTTCAGATCCGTCCGCCAATCTCGTTATACCCACCCCACCGGACGCGCACCCACCCCACCGGACGCGCACGTTGTTTTCCTCTATCCAACTGCCTTCACTTCCCACTATCTTTCATTTTTCAGTTATCGCATTAGGGTTATCAACACGTTTTCACTGAGTGTCCATTTCCTTACGCAAGGGCGTCTTTCGTCGACTGCAGGATGCTCGTATCCTGTCCTCTTCGTCGCTCCCTCATCCGAACCACACCATATTCCTTACCTCCTGAGTAACTCCTTCTCCAACGGCGATGGTGTCAATGCTTTTCGTCCACCTCGAAGTTGTCAAGGTTTCAGGTCACAAGACCGCCAGGCCCACCGGCTGGTTCGCTCCCTACGCACTCGCTATTTCCCCTGGTGCATTCTGACTCACATGCAAAGCGCACCCCCTATCCCACTATCCTACCTCAGTGTGACCAGCACTCAGAACCATTACCCTACCAATGGGCAGGTAACTTGCTTCTTCTTCTTTCTTTCTTTCTTCTTATTCTTCTTATTCTTTCCCTCCCTCTCCTCTAAAGTTCATTCATTTATTTTTGCCATTGGACGACATTGTACTTTCTCATGATAGTGTACTTCAAAATTGGCCAGGAACATAACATTGGCATCGGAGTGAATTCTACTTGCTGGTGAGAGTTGACTTAAATACCCTAACCCTCACCTAAGTGGTTAGGCCAGACCACTTAGGGTTAGGGTTGGTCCGCAGTGGGACGTGGGCCAGGGTGGATTGGGGAAGCTTCCCCCACCGGGTTAGGTCGTGTTGGGTCGACACTAAACCTGACCAAGTTGATTGAGAGTGAGCTTGTGGTGGTGAGACACATCAAGACGACTTCATGCGACAATTTGGGAGAGGCGGCAGTGAGCGACACTCACACATGGAATCAGACCTAAGGGAGAGACTTGGTGACTTAAGGGTCTCCATCAAGTAGGTGATCTTAAGGGAGGTAGCCATTCCGCATCTACGGACTGCAGGTTGCTACTTTGTTCTTCAACATCGGTGGGGGATCCGGCGTTGCACTTTGGTGTTAGAGTCAGACCTTCCTACATGATAGGCCACTAGTGTAGAGGTAGCAAATAGGGTTAGGAGGACTATATGAGGAGGGGGGGTAGTTATAATTCACCTTAGACTCCGGGGTACTCAGGTAAGTGTCGTGCATCTAAGGGTTGCCCATGTGTGTGTGCACGGTATTGTTTGCCTTGTTGAGGTACTTTTGGGTCTCTTTCCTACTCCTATGAAGTCTTGGTTGTGTGCATCGGTGTCCAAACTACTTACTGACCTGAATGATGGAGAGATGACGTATCTTGCTTTGAATGTCATATCTTTCTAGTAGTTTCTAGATTGTTTTGTCTTTTTCATTATGAATAGATGTAGTATGTAGGTTCTCTCTTAAAGTTAAAAATTGTTTTTCAGTACGGTAGAGGCAGGAAGGAGGACCTTGTGGTACTCTTCTTGCTTGGGACTTGATCGCGACCTACGTGGGACCCCTTGGGACTCAGTAGGACCAGGCCCAAACAAGAAGGGCCCCTTGGACTCAAATCTGATGCAGTGTCGCTCTCTTTTCCGTCTAGAATTTGTTGCTTTTCTTTTTTATTAGAGCACACGTTGTCGAGGGGATCTCAGCTGAGATGTTTTGCGGGCTAATAACACACAATCTGATGCT